GGGGTTTCACCGTGTTAGCCAGGATGGTCTCGATCTCCTGACCTCGTGATCCGCCTGTCTCAGCCTCCCAAAGTGCTGGGATTACAGGCTTGAGCCACTGCGCCCGGCCACACTAAGCTTTTTGTTCTGCAGGTTGCCCCCAAGTTTCCTGGCCGTGTGTGATCCTGAGGAGGTGAGCTTGTTTCTGGAGCTGTGCTTTAAGGTAAAGTTGATGTGGAACACAGCTTAATCCTCCTGTTCCCTTTCCCATCGGATCTGAACACCGGTCTTGGTGGTCGTAAAAGGAGGAAAAGTAATAGTGAAGCTGGCCTGAATGTTGTAATCTGGTATATGGCATGTGGGCTAGTTTCAGACAGGTTCAGAGATGGCTGGATCTCTGAAATTGTAAAATGAAATATAGGCTAAGGGAAGGATGTGTATGAAGCTCTGGAGGTTGGTATAGTAATAGCATTTGGGAGGGATCTGTCATAGCTTTCTTGCCTCTTAATTAAGGTGTTGTTTTCTTTTAGATTCATGTTACATGCAAAGCTGTCCTCGTGTGACTGGACCTATGGAGTTGGGTAAGTTAGTGACCACCCGAAGCTCTGTCAGCGTGTAGCTGCAGGTAGTGCTCAGTTTTCGGGGATCCTGTCCTAAGTAGTCAGCCTAATAGAACTATAAGGTTACTTAGGTCTGTGTCAAAGTTTTTTTTTGTTTTGTTTTTTGTTTTTAAGATGGGGTCTTTCTGTCACCCAGGCTGGAGTGCAGTGGCATGATCTTGGCTTATTGCAAACTCCGTCTCCCAGGTTCAAGTGATTCTTCTGCCTCAGCCTCCTGAGTAGCTGGGACTATAAGCATTCACCACTATGCCCGGCTAATTTTTGTATTTTAAGTAGAGACAGGGTTTTGCCATGTTGCCCAGGGCAGTCTTGAACTCCTGACCCCAAGTGATCTGCCTGCCTTGGCCTACCAAAGTGCTAGGATTACAGGCATTTCAGTAACATTTACGTTTGGCCTTCCTCGTGTGCCCTGTTAGCTGTTCATTACCAGAGGGCAAAGGTGCTTAGAACATGATTTGCCCACCCTGCAAGACCACACATTGCTGGAAGTTGAAGGCAGCAGAGGGCACTGTGGGCCACAAGGCCTGGTAGCCACAAATGTTCAGTGGTGGCTGGAGCTCATGATGCATTCTTTGGTAGGACTTCAAGGGGTTCCATGTAGCACACACTATTTAGAATGACTGGTCCAGGATGAAACCTAATCTGAGTGGACATCCATGGATGAGAAATGCGGATATGGGACTGAGACCAGCTCCTAGGAAAATGCCTGGGTGTGGGGGAAATCTGGGAATTTCTAACACAATGGCTTATACTTCCTTTGCAGGAGAATCTCTATGGGAAGCAAAAGGCAAGACCCCGGTCATTTTAGGCAGAAACAACAGCATGCTCTAGGTGTAGATCAATTGAAGATTAATAAAGACTGATAAAAGTATATTTGTGTTTGTATTTTTTTGGTCTCTACAAATCTGGTCTCTTCCTGAGCTGAAGCAATCCACCTCCCAAAGTGAGCCACCATGCCCAGCCCTTTGGAGATTTTTTTTGTGATCTACGATGAATGCTTTGCCTCAAGCAGTAAGCCCCCAAAATTGCTCTAGCACAAAACTAGAATCAGATACAGCTTTTATCATAAGCCCCAGAGCGGCCAGCAAGTATGGGTGCTTCCCCATTCTCCAAAGTTCACATGGAGGAGCTGCCTTCTCCCATATTTTAACTTTCTGAGCGGCTTATCTCCCATATTGATCCTAAAGTGATCCAGCCAGGCCTTGTATATGCAGATACTGAACATACAAAAAAAGATGAAAATAAGATGAAACCCATTCTTGTGAGCATTCTTAGGCCAACTGTCCTGCTCTATCACCCCACCACATCCTACCTCCTAGGGGTGTGCGCCGCCCCTGCTACAGTGCCCTACCTAGCTGCCAGACTCTAAAGTTAGAACAGCAGGTACCATAAATACTCCAGAGAGCCTTGATTTACATAACTGAGAAGCCGATAACCCAGGCTTTAGTGTGTGGATCATCCCAAGCTGCTCATCCCAGTTTTGGGTAACCCCAAACTATCCTGTGTCCAGGAGTGGACAACTGCCTGGACAAAGGATTCCTGTGAAGGAAAGCAATTTGAACCTTGTTTAAAAGTTGTTCCCGTGGTCTTCAAACTCAAACGGTCAAATGAATGCAGCAGTGTTGCAGAAATACTCATGATCTCCAGAAACAGTCATTAAAATCTTACAAATCATATTTCCAAAAAGGTTTCACATTTCTTTTTTTTTTTAAAAGGAGTCTCTAATCTCCCTCACATAGTGCAGCCTGGCTTGTCCTTTGGCCTGGCTACATCATGGCAGGGATCTCTGAAGACACTGTGTCCAGGGGCTGCCAGTGACAGTCCATCAGAGCATCATACAGCTCCTCACTCTGTTCCATGAACTCTTTGTTGGCCTCAGTCACATCCAGCTGTGGCATGGGGTCTGGAAAGAAAGCAAGGATCGGGTCAGGGAAGTCTAGGGACAGCTGCAAGGGATCTGGTTCAGTTCCCTTCTCCCAGAACTCTGATCTATGGTAAGGTCACTATCCTGCCAGTTTCTTTTAGGAAGTGAAACCACTGCCTTGCAGGGTTCTGGGGAAAATGAAAATAGGATTACGTATTTAGAGGATGGAAAAATGGCAGCTGTTAGCCTACATCTATTAAAAGCTACACGTGTGTCTCTAGCCATCATGTATCCTAGATATTCTAGAGGTCTGCTCCTCACTTCAAATTTGGGTTTAGAAGGTCTGATCAAAGTTATTAAGTCCAGAGCATCATCATCTCGGCCGGGCACAGTGGCTCACGCCTGTAATTCCAGCACTTTGGGAGGCCGAGGCAGGCGGATCACAAGGTCAAGAGATCGAGGCCATCCTGGCCAACATGGTGAAACCCCGTCTCTATTAAAAATATAAAAATTAGCTGGACGTGGTGGCAGGCACCTGTAGTCCCAGCTACTCGGGAGGCTGAGACAGGAGAATCGCTTGAACCCAAGAGACAGAGGTTGCAGTGAGCTGAGATCATGCCATTGCACTCCAGCCTGGGAGACAGAACAAGA